CTATGCAGCATAAAGTACCGGGCCAATAGCATCAGTGTACAAGGCATATCATAGATTTATTTCTGGCAGCAAGTGGTAGAAGGCAGAGGAGAAGGACTGGAAATAAAGTAAGTACCCACAAATATAAGTACTCTCCATCCACAAAGTAAGCTCCACCAATAATAACAGCAAGGAAAGGGTGACATGAAATATCAAGCAACCATTAACATAGATGAAGTAGATACTACCAGTTTATTCAGGATTCCTCACAAAACATTATTGTTAAGTGAGAAAACCTTGGTGCAAAAACTCTACAATTTCACTTTTTTCTTAGTGTTGTTAGGGAAGAAAAATGGCTAGCTTCTCTCTTCCAATACAATCTTTTTCCCTCTTTTTAAAAAACAACTCTGGAACTCAGAAAGGTTTTTGCTACACAATTAAAAGTACTGACATTAAATTCAACATCTTTATTTAATTGGCATGGAAACTGAGGAGGAAATCTCTCAGAGTAGTAGCTTTAAGTAATATTTATAAAGTATATTGTTGGAGATTCTGAGAGAAGCAAATACATTTATTTCTGAAAGGTAATAGTAAAGGAGTTGCAAGCTAGTGAATTCTAAAACTAACAATAAACATGGGCCTACAATGTATGTTAAAACCAAAGCTGGGACTTTGAAAGATAAATGGCACTCATATATATATATATATATATATATATATATATACACACACACACATGTGAAATATATTGAATACTATATATTATATATTTATATGAAATAGTCATGTGAGAAACAAACAGGAAAGTATATTTGTATGTAACTACTATAATGTCAATTTAGAAGTTTTAAGACTCAAATTTAAGTTTAGTAAAGTTAAACAGTGTGAAATGTACAAAAAGGAATATTTCAAAATGTCTCCACAAACTTGAGATAGTTATATTTAAAATAAATGGGAAACTAAATGCAGAGACTAAATTATTCACAAGAGAAGAAATTAAAATATAGTCAGTTTGTTCTCTACATTAGTGTATTTAGTGCTTTATCCTCCTCCACTTTACCAAAACGAACATCTTTAGACAAAGATTGAAACAAGGGAAGTGCTGAGAAACAGCCAGCAATCAGAATGTCATAAAAGAAATGCTTTCTATCAGTATACTCACTGCTTTCTTGCTTTATATCAAATTGATTCTAAAATACTGATGCTAGCAGGAGATATCCTATTAAACAAATTTTTATTTATCATAAAAATGGAAAATATAGAGGAAATTATGATACAGGTAAGAAAAATATGTAAAAATTCTAGCATAGAACTGAGTACAACCAAACAAGGATATACAGAACTTTTGCAATATACCAATGTAAATTAGGTATCCAATAGTCAACAAAAATAAATATTTTAATAGTGTATATTGGCAAAAGTTACTATTATAGACATAGATAGCATACATGGGTATTTTAAAAAGTAGATATATTCAATACTTGCAAAACTGTGCATATTAATTTACAGGCAAGTTAAGAAGAATATTCTCAGAAGTGTTGAAACTAAGCAATTATGGAAAATTGAAAACAAATGGATCGTGGTAGAGCACGTGTGGACCATGTGTGCAAGGTAAACAGAAATGAAGTCTATTTACATCATTCAAATGGAAATAATTACTGTTTATTCAAGTACATTGAGAAAAAGTGAGCAGATAACTTAGTGTTCTTAAAAATCGAGAAAATTCTAGAGTACTCAGAATGCTTGGAAAGTTAAAAGACATTCATTCTCAGTCTCTGCTATATGTTATAACAGAGTTTCTCTCAGCAAACATCTTGAACAAACTCTTAATTTTAATCAAAATTTACAATATGAAAATCATTGCTGTTTACACTTGGACATCTGCAACAGTATCATGTATCTATTACTTCTTAATAAGCTGACTAATTTTCATGTTTATATGTTGAATGTACTTTAAACTCCCCTAGGCTCAAAGCCCCACTGCACTTCTCTGTATTTTAAAAATCAAAGAGAATTCACTTAGTAGTTAATATTTCTAAACTCTAAGGCTGAAAAACTCCTGCTTTCAGCTGATGGAGAGTTCTTATTTTTAATAAGTTTTTTCACTGTGAAAATACTGTACAGAGGGGTTATAGTTACATGAGCAAGGTAATGAGTACATTTCTTAGCAAGCATTGTTGCCTCCTCCTTTGTTTTTCCCCTACCATCCTTTCCCTCCCACCTCGATGGAGAGTTCTTTAGAAAAAGAAAATAAAGAAACTAATAGAATACAGTTAATAGCTATTTCATACTTTAAAAAAACATAAAATGTTTAAAAGTTACTGATTGACATTTTAGTGAGTGATTCTTGGCATACAAATAGCCTTTGATATCTATTTTAGTATCACTGTTTTCTTAAGAATTATTGCTTTTTGAGTGATTTAGTTGGTAGACAGCAAATTACATATAAGAACTTGAAGCCTAAGATGACATGAGTTATATAATTAATTTCTCTACAAATGTCTCTAAATAAAGTTGCTTCTTTAATACAGATATGAGAAGTAAGAAAGTTACAGGACTATTATGAGGGACATGATAAATGTAGTCAAGAAAGAAAACAATTTTTAATTTAGTAGATTCAATCAATCTAGAAGGCACATGAATATTTACTGGTAATTCAGTATGTTGAAAAGTTGATAAAAGCAAATTCATGCAGTAGAAATCGCAACATAAAACAAAACACTAATAATATCAAATTTCATAAAAATTTCCGTAATTATACATATTTGAAATCAAGAGTAGATTCATATTTCAAGGGCAAATGTTAACCATGTCCTTTCTTTTATAAAATACTGGTAAAAATATTAATAATCCACTCAAGATATGGTTAAGGGTTTTGTTCTGACATGAAAACCATTTACAAAACCTTGATGTGATAAGATGTATCACTGGTAATGTAAGTAAGCTTTTTGTCATGATGAGAGAATTCTCCTCTATGTTCTGTTAAAAGGAACCTTCTAAAGATCAGATAATCTTTTGCCTTGCTATCAATTATTTAAAAAGTGTAGTCTTCACATGTTTTAACAATCTTCTATTTCTTTGGCTCTATTAGTAATTCAGTTGATGGTCTGAACTCACAGTTTTATTATTCTTTTTTTTTTTCTATCTTGCACTTGAACTCTGGACCTGGACGCTTTCTTTCAGCTCTTCAGCTCAAGGTTAGTGTTCTAACACTTGAGCCACAGCACCACTTCTGTTATTTCTAGTGGTTTATTGGAGATAAAAGTCTCCAGGACTTTCCTGCCCAGGCTGGTTTTGAACTGCAGACCTCAGATCTCAGCCTCTTGAGAAGCTAGGATTACAGGTATTAGCCACTGGCACCTGACTCTTAGACTTTTTAAAGCTTAGACTCTAACATGTCAATACTAGAAATATTGTCATTCATTGATGTTGCAAGGGGCAGATAATCTAATCTGTAGAAATATAATATTCTTTCCCTTAAAGGATTCTAGTAGAACAATTTTCACTTTTAATTTAAAAATATGTATGTCAGAATTTTACTTTTTTGAAAGCAGTATTTTGGGAAGAAAATAGCATTTCCTGCTTAATCTCACTTTAAGCATTTCTTTAATTATTTAAATATTCAGTCCTTCTGAATACCCTTAGGACAGTTGACTATTTGTGCCCCTCTTACAGGTGTATTTTTCTAAGATATAATTCTTACTTTTTAGCTTTTCCTGCAGTACTGAGCATTGAACCCAGATCCTCAACTAGGCAAGTTTAGTAACAATGAAGACTATTCTAATAACTCTAAATCTTAGTTAAATATGACCCAATTATATTTATGTTGTAAAAGATGAGCAAGTGCTCAATCCATATTCATAAAAGGATATACCAATGTAATATGAAAAAATGGGCACTTATATTCACAATTCAAACTTTTTTATTTCATGCGAAGTTTTTTTGTTTTGTTTTGTTTTGTCGGTCGTGGGGCTTGAACTCTGGGCCTGGGCACTGTCCTTCAGCTCTTCAGCTCTAGGCTAGTGCTCTACCACTTCAGCCACAGCACCACTTCCTCAAACCTTTTGATTTGAAAGCATAAGTTTCTAATAAGCATACTAATTAATATTTCAATGTATAATATTATTTCATAAACTATGATATAAAATATATATTAGACTATCAGTTTGTAAATGAGTTAGTTCAATGATAACAAAATGTAGGTAGGAAACTTGAAGCTTTACACAGACAAGCTCTATTATTTATTAAGTATACTCTTGAAATAATTACTAGTACATTGATTGTTAAGATTAACTTATACTATATCCTCATGGATCCAATGACCCTGTAACTTCAAGCTAAAGATGACTTCCAGTAATCTTTGTGTGTTGTTGTTCTATCACACTAAGAAAATAACAAAGTCTCTAAAGATATAATGAAGACAAAAGGCATCACTTTGGGGATTCAGGGATTACAATAAAGACAAATAATTCTCCCCCTTTAAGAAGATACTGGGTAGCAAAAATGGTTATTTATTCATGAGAATGCAAGTGGGAGAGATCAGAGTTCTAGGCCAGCCAGGGAAAAAAGTTCAGGAGACTCCAGCCCAACAGCAAAAGCTAGATACAGTGGTGAATGACTCTCAGTCCAGTTACCATGGAAAGGGTAAATGGGTGTAGTGTAGTCCAGAATTTGTTAGGCCAAAGCAAGACCCTATTTCAAAAGTAAGCTGGAAGCACACTTTAAATGGTAGAATGCCCACAATGCAATGTTCTGGGTTCAAAAAAAAATAAAACAAAACAAAACAATACAAAGAAAAAATAAATAATGTGGGAATGAAATTGTTACCTACCTTAGTATAAAAGTAAGTCCATAGCTCTTCATTTACACATTCTTGCTGAATAGACTTAATTTCTTAATGTATATCCTACTTTTTAATAATATTTCTATGCCATAATTTTACATAATGTAGAAATAGACCTCGGGTGATTGCTATTTTTTACATAGAATAGGAGCAATAAGGCCACATGCTTATAAATTACCTTTCTCAATATGCATCCGTTTTGAATCATGTCCCATGTCATGACCAGCCAAATCTCCTTCCTTTGGCCCTGGGAGGACATTTGGTGATAAACCCATGAGCATCTGGTTCATGGACAATCCATTCTGGTGTACAGCTGTTAAGCATAAAATAAAAGAACAAATACAACACCACCATAATATAAAATGTTCAAGTAAATCCTTTTGGTCTCAAAACTATTAAGAAATTCATGGATTCTTAATTTTAAAATCGTAGCTTATTAAAAAACACTATGGGAATGAAAAAAATTAAAACAAGTATAAAATGCTTGTTTTTACATAATATAAAGTAACACTGGAATATTTTTAATAGTTATACTAACAGAACCACTACCCATAAAATCTCTAGTCTTTTAGTCTAATATACCAAATTCTCTCCTCAGCAAGCAGTATTTTTTAGTTCTCTGACTGCACTCATGAGAGTGCTCTTTCACACTGTAAGTTCAAAATGTAATAAATTATATTCTTGTGAAATGAAAGGGAAAAAAAAGTCTATTTTCTAGAATCGAGCCAGTGGGATTTTAACTTCAGTACTATCTATTTTACTATGGATCTATTTTACTATAGTATTTTAGTGAATTTTAACTTCAGTACTATCTATTTTACTATGGATCTATTTCACTATAGTATTTTAGTGAATTTTAACTTCAGTACTATCTATTTTACTATGGATCTATTTTACTATAGTATTTTAGTGAATAGATCCCACGAAGTATAACAGATATCAAAATGTTTTTTTATCAGTTGATCTTGAAGTAAAATTTGTAAATAAAACTGGTCAATTAATATTTGCTGAGTGGCTGAATAAAATATAAACAATAATCACTTGTTTGTATAATTAGCAATAATCTGTCACTATAAGATAAAACACTGTCACTTGAAGATGATCAATCATTTTTCCCATAATTTAACTCAACATAAATTCACATGATAAATTACCCATGAAAATCTTGGAATTTGAAAAACTGATGGTGAATCAGTCCAAAACCTTACTTTCACAGGAAAACAGAAAATTTAAAACTGTATCATAAGAACATTATGCAAAAATAAATCCTTATCCATAAGCTAGGGGTACTTTCAAAGAGAGTTATTGACTGCCTAATTCTCAGAAGTAAATAAGAATAATTCACAGTGTGGTTGAAAATCTATGTAAATTGTTTTAAATAACATGTTGAAAGGAAGAAGTATATGTGTGAATATATATGTATGTATATTGAATTACTATGGATACGTTTCTATCTGACAAATATAATAGTCCAAGCATACAAGGACTCCTTTTGGCTTCCTTTCAGAATTTTAAAAAACACAATTATTAACAAGGTGACATGAATGTATAAAAGAATGTATAAGAGCTCTTTTAAAGTAGAGATTTACCAATCTTCAGAGTCATTATTGGTTTGAGAATGGTTATCAAGTGACTCATTTTTATTTAACAGTAACTATAACTTTGTTGAACCTAAAAAAAAAGTTTACAAAGGCTAGGTAAACATGTGTATTTAATATTATATATGATTGCTTATTTGTGAATAACTGGCTGTTTTATTTATACTTTATTGCACACAATTCCATATGATTTACTAACTCCAACAGTTAGAAGAGTACATTTTTTCTGCCTTATGCAAACAATCCTTTACAATCTAGTGAGAGCCTTTTCCTTTTCAGTAGCCAACTATGTACAATAAATTCTGCAAAGGTGAATAAAATTTGGAGTATAAATAGGAATTTGTAAAGTAATAAACTCTACAAATAACATTCTACATATTCATTCTCTGCATTAAACTATTCTCTTTAATATACTTATTTTATTAAAAAACTCTCTAATGATTGTACAAACACAAAGTTGTGTGTTAAGTGAGTGACATTCTACCTTTAATTTGTTTTGGTTATGTGAGCAAACGGATATTGAGAAAATAAGATTAAATTCAATATGGTCTACTTTTAAAAAATCATAAATATATGACAATATACATTCTTAATTATTAAGGAATCAGATCCTACAATTAAGCCGATTTAAAATTTACATATTAATACACTAGAAATCTGATGGCTTAGAAATATCTTTTAACTCAATGTCTTGAATTTAGATTCCTTTATTCCTCTTTGTGGATATCTTCATTAAAGCAAACTAGTAAATTACAAAAAATGGCAGAGGTGAGACTGAAGGAATGAAGTTGAATGGTCTACCACTAATATACTCGGAGACAGACTTTTAGCAATTGGTTACTTACTTCAAAAACTAATCTAACAGCTTCCTTACTTTCTCTACCTGCTCCATAGTTCATATCTTTATGTGAAGCATCATAGATTGGGAGTATATTTCAGAACCTGTTCATGTCATATCATACTTCATGATATTCTAAATGGGAAAACATAGCTTTGAGAGATGGCTGGCTATTGCCACTGAGTTTCTCAGCATGATGTATCTGAGAACTACTTGGAGTGAGGGCATTTTGATTAGAAAACCCAGCTGCACCTAATAAAGCTTAAAATGGTGACAAGTAAAAGTATGAGACCTACGGATTCTGTCAGAAGAACTCTCGGTCCTAGCCGGGGAGCTGGACACACTGCTGCTGCGATGTGATGAGGGGTGACTGCCAGGCCTTCGACCCTCCTCCAGAGATGGTGCAGGAGAGGGGCTGTCAGGAACACGCTCCTACAGGACCACAATAGGGGAGAGAGAGGAGGAGAGAGAGAGAGAGAGAGAGAGAGAGAGAGAGAGAGAGAGAG